CCCAAGTGAAAAGCAACTCCATATTGACTGATCAGTTTGAATATTTTCCTTGAAATAATGCCAGTGGCACTTGCATATTTTTGTTTCATTTCTGTTGAAAGATTCGTCTCTGCTCCCTAAATTGTCTTCTCAAATTACTTCAATACCACGCAAGATATTAAACACTCTATAAAGCATTCTGGGCACTCTTGCAGAAAAGACTCAATCAGAGTGAGAAACAACATAACATTTATCACAGAAGTCTGTTATTTGAATACAGACTTCATTTAGAGTTGCCCATTGAGAACTTTAATTTATCTTTTATGTGACATGCATTTATTTATAACTCTGGATTTACGCAGCTCATGCATTTGTACATTTTTGTCATTTCTGCTAAAAGCTTTTTCACAAACCATACTGCAGTTGGTGCAGTTGCCCAGGCTTGGTGGAACATTCAGATTTTGGGAGAGAACAGAGATTCCCTAATCAGCGTCAGTGGACTCACCATACAGTAGAGGCTTGTAAAGTGCAATAGCCACAATATTCCTACCTTTGATATTGCTAATATTCATTTCCACAGGCCGCTTTTCTCCTCTGTGTCACCTATTTATTTTGTGCAGTTTATACAGTTTGTGTTTCCTAAGTCTTTGCCCAGTTTGGTCCCTGGTGTATTGTCTCATTTCATTCCTTGTGTTTCTATCTCACACCTTTTAAACCACCTAACTTTTTTTTCACCCCAATAAAAATAGCCTTTTTCTATTCCATTCCTCTACCCCCCCTTTTTTTTTTTATTTTATTTTAGCAAATAACATAAAAATACTCAATATTAAAATGAAATTTCAAATAATGACAATCTGCACAACTTCAGATACAGTGTAGTTTGTTCATTGAAGAAAATAAAGAGTACTGAATTTTTATATGGAGATTCAGTGTCTACTTCAGTATTTTGATACTACTGGACAGTCCAATCCACAGAATTCCAGGAAATACTTTTAAGAGATGTTGAATCAAACATATTGTAAGCTGGTGTAAGAGGTGATGAGAAATCAATAATTAGCTCTCAATGCTTCCTTGTCTTTCAAGCTGTTTAGTGTAACATTGATGTAAAAAGTAATCACACTACATCTTGGTAATGGATTGGTCATTTATTTTGATGTATCTGGAATAATTTTCTTTCATATGATAGACAGCAAGACTGTGGATAAGCATAATATCTCTAGTGTAAAAATCAGTGGTTTCCTCTATGAAAAACAAACCGTATCATTTTCCTTTATTTATTTAGGCAGAAAGAGAGAGTAACCTCTGAGGATGGAAAGGAATGGATTTTTTTAAGATCTTTTGAATACTTGATTTAAGACACCATGGATTGGAGGGAAAAAGCACCAAACCACAACACTAATGAACAGAGAATAAATGAGGAAAAAATAACTGTATGGTAAAAAATATTCAATTCTGATGTTGAAGTAGAGAAAGAATAAGGAATTAGGAATCCCTAGCTTTTTCCCCTACACTCAGACAAACTGTAACAATTGAGATCCGGCACAGAAATGTTATTGAGAAAACACCATCTTGAATTCCAAGGCTAGCTTAAAAAATAAATAAAGTAGCGGTGAACTGCAAGAAGTGGTGAAATAGTTCTCCTTTGTAGAAGAAGTATGCAATACTAGATATTTAATAAAGCATAAACAATTTCTCAACTGTACAGTAAAGAATCTTTAGTGTATTTCTTAAATAATTTCTTATTTTAGTTTCTGTAAAGTAATTTTGTATTACTTCATGAATAGAATTAGATATAGAAGTTTTATCTCATCTGGAGGATGTTACAATCATGGCACACGATTTTTTTGCTTATGGATCAGAGTTAAAAGACCTCACTGCATGTTCTGCTTACAAGACTCACTCTCTGCATGACTTTGGGTAGAGCATTTTACTTTTCTATATGCATCGCCTTCAATAAAAAAATAAATAACTTAGAGTGCACTGAAGAACCAGTAAATAATTACTAAATTAAAAATAGTATTTTAAATGCAAAATAGTTGAGATGCTGGTATAAAAAGAAGAATACAAAACTCCTAGCTGGGCAAGTCATACTTCTGATGACTGAAGTCTTCCTGCAGTGTCTGGTTTTTGCATTTTAGGAAGTCTGTCTCTTCTCATAAGCTAGAAGCAATGAATATATTTCCTGCCTTGGGAACTCATGGCAAAGCAACTTTCAAGCTAGTCAATGCCTGGTCACATTTAATGTGCTGAATTAACTTATGGTCATAAACTGACAGGTGGTTTTGAGCAGTTCATGAGGGAATTTAGTTGGTGTGTGCAAAATGCAGCCTACAGGTCAATGATACTTGGACACACAGCAATTAATAACCAACAGCCAATACTGTTACCCTTGTTTATGTCATTATTTTTTTTCCAATTGATTTCTGATGAAATTGATTAAAATACTTCCAAGTTGAAGACATATTTGCTGTAAAGTAAAGGAATAATAAAATTGGCCTCATACAATGAGACAGATGTTTTGATCCTTGTTAGGAAACACTATCAGAAAAAATGCATAATTACTAGGGGGTCATTCCCACTCCCCAAAACCCAACATCATGGTTTTTGAACATGTTTTTAGATTTTCTGTTATTTTGCAGAAATATACTACCATAATACATGGCTTGTTCCTGTTCCCACTAGAGTCAATAGCAAAATTGCCAATGAGTGATGGAAAAAACCTATGAAAAATGTTTCAAAAACATTTGGTTTCATTTAGGCAAATTCAATTCATTGGCCAAAATATTAGATTTCTAATTGTTTGCTTCAATCAGAGCTACACAGAGACTGGTGTCTCTTTATGTCAGTTTCAGTAGATTTATTCCTACCAGCATGCTCTAAAAAAATCTCTTGCCCAAATTTTAAGCCAAAATTGGAAGATAGACTCTCAGCAATATGGAAGAAAATCCAAATCCAATGTGTAAGAACCATAAAGAGCTCAATGCTAGCTCTTGCTAATTTGCATTATATATTTTTTCTGTTGTGCTTACAGCCTTCAAAACACACTTGAAGTGCCAGATCACTGTCCTTCTGTGCCATTACTAAATATAAATTTTTCCACATGAATCAACTGAGTGAAGATCAGATGTTTTAAAAAGGGCTTGGTTTTCATTTGCCTAAAGGCTATTGTGCTAAAAAGAATTCAGTGACCTCATAGCTGAAAGTGACTGCAGATTTGCTATTAAATAACTCAGCTGTGCTGCACAGCTTTGCGAACCATGATTGTAATATTTTTGTTCTAATTTTTGTAATTTCATTTTTTATTTATATGTAAATTACACAGACCTTAAGATCATCATGGCTAGGCTTCGCGAACAAAGATTTGGGAAGAGACCTTAAGATATCCCTGTTGGTACACCTCTCTGACCAAAATTTCCCTGATGCATTTGTAGGATATGAAAATGCTGCTAAACTGGAACAATAGTCCCTAATATGCTAGGATAGAAGGAAAAGCCTTTCTTTGGATGCATCTTCATTGTTTTCTTTCTGAAGTTCTGAAACGAATGTGTCGTGCAGCTGTTGGAACAGCCATGTCCTCCCAGTCATGTCACTGGATGCTGTGTGAACTCTGTTGATCTTATGTGGGATCTGTAATTCTATGGGAGGCTCCTTGATGGAGATAGAAGCTCATTCATAAGATATGAATGAGATTCATACTTGCAAAAGTACTGATAACTAATGGAGTGAAGTCATTCCACTTTCCTATAGTAAAGCAAGCAGAAAAGGTCTCTGTTACTTATGAGTCATCACAGATCTGGGCTGCAGCATGGGTGTTTCTTAGGGTACAGTATTCAGAAGCTGGTGGCTGTAAGGCACAATGAAATTTTTTATTTAGCTGCCTCTGAGTATCTGGGTTCAGGATGATATTCTTGCATGGATATCTTTTGTGACTGGAGAAGCTAGAGCTCTGCCTCCAATATATCATAATTTCTTGAGCTTTGTAGTCATGTCTGAGTGTTAGTTAATGTATTTTTGTCCTGATTTCATTTAACATGGTGTTCCATCTACAGCTAGCAGTGCTGACCTGTGATGTGCTGTCATCACAGTGTATCTGGAAGGGCACTATTTCAAAATTAGAGAGAGGGCAGTGGAGAAGATATGTCGTCTGCCTGAAGCTAGTATCTCATTCAGGGAACAATTTTATCCAAGGTTAATGGAAGATCAGACACAATATCAGTCAGCTGAAGCAAGATCACAGTTATCTGTTAAACATGGAGAAGTGTAACTCCATTCCTGAACTGTCATGATGTACTTGCAGCATTTTGATAGGGCTTGACAGATAGTGTTTGTTTATTAACACAAGTATCCTCTGTGCTGCTCTAAGTATCTATTTTTCAGTTCTTGTGTGGAAATTAAGTGTTTGGGTGAAGTGAGAGGAAACATCTGATAGTCGTAAAGAGGTAATGTACTAGCAGTGGCTGAGCAAACAGTAAAGGGAATGCCCCCTGCAGCTGGGGTGGGTTAGCCCTGGCTGGCAGCCAAATGCCCACCCAGGCATTCACTCCCCCCTACCTCAGTAAAGCCTTTGATACTGCAAGTGAGGTCACCATCTTTGAGAGAGGGACCTGCTTTTAAGAAACAGCTTGCAGAGTCCTTATTCTAATTGCAGGATTTTCCAGAGGTACTGATTATATAAAGGGGTGTTCAGTGGTATCTGTGCAGTATGAGAAGTCCACAACTTGATAATGTTGTGATATTATGCAGGATGGGATAATGCCCCCTTCTCAAGAATTTGTAGTCTTTGCCTGAGAATTGTTGTAAATTACTAATGCCTTTCCTTATTTATTTTTTTTTAAAATATAATACCATTGTCATCTTCTCTGAGAAGGCAGATCAATGCATTTGTGTTTGGGAAGGGGAGTAAAAGACTGGGAGACCTTTGGATTAAATAGTCAATAGATTTCTTTGCTGCAGAACTACTTTGGAGCGAGGGTGTATTCATTCACTCTGTCACATTTTTCTTTGTTAAGGTGCAGTTCAACTGAGACTGAATTCCTCTTTGGCTGTCCATAAACTGTGAAACAGAAGGATGCAGAAGACTATTCCTTGTCTTTTTGTACATGAATGATAAAAGCACAAGATCATTAATACAAGTTTGTTGCAAAGATGAGTTCAGAGGAGAAGAGTATATCTCCAGCTCACAAAACAGCCACTCCATCACATAGAAGTGCCTCCTCATCATCATCGTCTCAGAGAGACAGGAGGCAGGTAAGGAAAAGCTCTAAATGTTTGCACCATCTGGTGGGATGGTACTTTTATTCCTGTAATGTGGCCTTTAGTTCTCACTAGCTCTTGATTTGTTTGCTTATAGCACTGGATGATATCACCATAGCCAAGAACTGTTGATTTTTTTTTAGTTGATTTTTTTTAGTTGATTTTTTTTTAGTTGATTTGTTTTAGTTGATTTTTTTTAGTTGATTTTTTTTTAGTTGATTTTTTTTAGTTGATTTTTTTTTAGTTGATTTGTTTTAGTTGATTTTTTTTAGTTGATTTTTTTTTAGTTGATTTTTTTTAGTTGATTTTTTTTAGTTGATTTTTTTTAGTTGATTTTTTTTAGTTGATTTTTTTTTAGTTGATTTTTTTTTAGTTGATTTTTTTTTAGTTGATTTTTTTTTTTTTTTTAGTTGATTTTTTTTAGTTGATTTTTTTTAGTTGATTTTTTTTAGTTGATTTTTTTTTAGTTGATTTTTTTTAGTTGATTTTTTTTTAGTTGATTTTTTTTTAGTTGATTTTTTTTTAGTTGATTTTTTTTAGTTGATTTTTTTTAGTTGATTTTTTTTTAGTTGATTTTTTTTTAGTTGATTTTTTTTTAGTTGATTTTTTTTTAGTTGATTTTTTTTTAGTTGATTTTTTTTTAGTTGATTTTTTTTTTAGTTGATTTTTTTTTTCCATTTTCTGAAGTTGCTTGAAAAAGATTCAGAAGCAACATGGGCACTATGTGCAGCAGTGGAACAAGAAGTGTGTAATCACATGGACAAGTAGGAAACATGCTCTGAAATCTTTTGGGAAGTGGTTTCTTTGATGGCATGAACCTACGGTTGCTTAAAATTGTTTTGTGTCCTCTGTGGATATCTCTTCTTGTAAATATAATTACAGAGATGCATTATCATTTTAGAAGGTTGTAATTCAGTTTAAATATCATACTGTTCGTCTTTTTGTAAAACCTAACGTTTTAAGTATTATTATTTGTTTTACTACAAATTTACACTGATTGTACCACATACTGAAGTACTAGTCCAGTTATGTTGGACTTCAGTTTTTAAGATACCCTTGTCTATGTGGATGTAATACATCTTTTCTCCATGATCCCTTTGAGATGAAGACTGTGTTATTTCCGCTCAAAACAACTTGAGCGTTTCTGTGGGTTTTTTAAGAGATGGGTGTAGTCTGGCCACAGCACCAGTGGGAGCTGCCCACTAGAAAGTGTCCGAGCTACCCACTAGATTTCAGATTGGTTATTACATGTATATTTACAAACACAAAGATTTATACTGAAAATTTGGTTAGAACAAATACATATTTTAAAACTGATCTGTGGAAAAGAGGCAGGAAAAGAGCTTATAAAATCATTAGCTGTGGTACACATTTACTTGAATGGCTGTGGCTTAGGAACATTTTCGCAGCTACTTGTATGCCAGCTGGGACAATATTTTTCAGCTGCTGCTGGGGAAGTTTTTGCCCTTACCTGTCTTATGAAAAATTTGAAAACTGAGAATTTTGATGAAAACTGTAACATTTACATCTTTGAATGAAAATAGTCTTGCCATAAGGTATGTTTAAAATGTTAAATCAGTAGAATTCTGATGTATGTTCAGTAACAGGCAGGAAATATGTCTGGAATTTTTTTAATAATTTACATTGCTTGAGTAAATCCAAAAATTATTTTCTCACAGGTGATAAATATTTTCCCTGTCAGAGTGTACAGGATTTGGGATAGCTGTACTCAATTAATTAAGTCCTAGTTAGCATATAATCTCCTAATTTTTCATTACTTCCATGTGGAGCAAGGATTTCAACACCTTTTGTTTGAAGCATCGGTGTATTTTGTCTCCCACATTTAAACTTTAAGGTGAATGCAAGACCTCATAGGAGCTGTTGGTCTCAGCTAAGAGCATATCCTCTGAGTTTTCTTTGTAATTAGGTAGTTGGATACAATCATGCAAGTGAGAATGAAAAAAAAAAAAGTACCTCTTGGGAATACATTTTACATAAATCTAATGGCTACCATATCTGTTACCATAGCAACAGTATAGAGCAAGGTATACCTGTCATCATAACGAAATGGATGCTTAACTTTAAGTCCATATTTGACCATGGAAATGTGAAGCATGATTTTAAAATAATGCTGTAAAGGTTGGTGATGTGATGCATCCAGAATATCCAATAAAGTGTGATGATGCTTAACAGTTATATTTAGGCATGTAAATGTGGACTGGAAAGGCTACTGCTAGGCATTCATTTTTTGCCTTCGTGCTTTCAGTGTTAAAGGCAGACAAATATCCAAGAGAATGAATGGCTGAACAATTTCTTCTGCAGAAAGACACAGAGCTAGAGCAATGCAGCGTGAAGTGCAGTGGTACTATATCCAGGAAAAGAAACATACAGGTGTTTCCTCTGTGCATGTAGACACAGTAAATCAACCAGCTTCATCCTACCAGCTACTATAAGCACTGTATTTCTGCTATATTTCTAATTTCTTTCCTTGCTTGTGGTATTATTTGTATATTTTTTGGTTTTCATAGGCTTTTCCTCAAACACAATGACAGCTCAGGGGTGGGGGGTTTTGGTTCAGGAGGTGTTGGGTTTTACTTTGAAAAGGCTTTAAAATTCTGTTTTGCTACCTCCTTTTACTCTTCAGAGCAGGTAGGAGAAAAGCACCCTTCCTGAATTGGTATATGAATGTGGAAAGTGATGTGACTGGATGAAGTGTCAATATAGCTTTCATTGTCAAATGTGAGGATAACACTTGATCTTTCTAGATGGTTAATGACTGAAATCTTATCATATAATTCTTGTCAAAGTCATACCAGCAATTATGGAACAGTTTCCCTTTAAATAATGGTGCAGGAGGCTGAGTGAGTGTGAACATGATTATGATAAATCATTTCAGGGAGAGTGGAAAATGTTGTGCTGTATATAATGCTGGCATTTTAATGTAGCTTTCTTATTTGTGCAATATATATCACCTAAGAGAATTAGAAGTCAGCAAAAGCTTTGACATTGCCAATTTACAGGCTCCATGACTAAGTTAATAGATAAATGAACAGACTAATGAAGCCAGCGATAACAAAAAAACTGATTTCAGATTTTTGTCATTAATTGTCATTAAAATCATGTTTGATTTGGACTGCTAGATAGAAGAAGGCCCAGAACCAACCTGTTTTGTTTAACCCCTGAGTTGAACAGGGTGGCAAGTTAGTTGTGGTGTCCTTGATAAGGAATACTTCAGAAGGGAACAGCAGCAGTTTTTCCTACTGTGGAACTGTTGCAGAGTGTGAAACACACTTTGACTTCCACTGGCAGTAAGAGTCTTCATACACAGGTTAGCATAAAAAATGCAATTCTGATAGCCTTTTTTGTGGACTGTGCTGACAAGATAGATTCTTGTTTTTCATCCCTTATGAAACTCTGAAGAGGCTAGCTGTATACTGTTGCACAACAAAACGTAGGAAAACTAACAGCTTTTAGAAGGTACAGCTGAATATGATAAAATCATATGTTGTATATTCAGTTGTATGGATGTAAGTTCTTTATGAATATTGCATATTTAGTCAATAAATAAAATATGTAAGTCATAAGGCAGACTGTAATATTATATATATATATTATATATTCTCTGCAATGCGTGGGTAGGAATATTGTGCTGAGAAGGCAGAAAGAAGTGAATACATCATAGGGTTAATAATGTAAAGTTTGAAAAATTGAAGCCTGACCCCAGGCTATTAAACAGAGTGAGTGATACAGAAGGATAGTAATAATATTGAAACTGTGAACAAAGGAGAGATTTTGACTTTTCTGGCCATCATCTGAAGGGTTGCTAATACCTGATAGGAAGTGGATTTAGCAATGTCTTCTATTTTAAATATGAGGATTTTTCTTCCAAATTCTTATTTTCTCTTTGTGATCTCTTTCTTTTTCTGTTTCCCTTTGTCTGTTTGCTTTTTCTACAAATCCTTCTTTTCCCACACAGCAATCACAAAAGAAGAAAAGCATTTAGTCCTATTGCATTTAGCCTTATATTTAACCTTTCTACTAGGAGAGCTTTCATATTTCAAATGACTATTGTCTTTCAACCATATGTAAAGAGTGAAAGATAGGGGCTTTGAAGGAAGAAGAAAAAATGATTTTCCAGAGCAGCAATCTGCTTTTCAGATTTTAACATGGCTTGTTGGTTTTTTGGTTGTGTTTTTTTTTTCTCCTTTCTGTAAGAGCAGCATTGACTAATAGAAGGGGTGTACTCAAGGGATGCACAAAGGACTGAGTCTGGGTTGAAGATGTTTACCTGGCCATGAAATTTAGAAGCAGAATGTGATTTCAAGGCTCTGATCTTGCCTAAAGGTCTGTTGTTGGAAAATGCCTATTTAGCTTTTTACAACCATTGTATTTCAATTGTCAGTCTCCTGAAAGCAGTATTTCCTAAGGTGAGTATCACCATTTTGTAGATATAAAGCCTTTAATGATGATGGAAGGATTGAGTCATCTGTCTACAGCAATCTTAACCAAACCTTAGTTTATAGAGTAACTGTAAAAAAGATATTGGAGTAGGTGAATCTGGAGGTGAAATGTATGAACCTGAAAAAAAGGACCAATAATCATTATTTGGATATAGAGATGCAGTAGCAATCTAGGCCTCACAGTGCTGTGTACTGTATTAAGCATATAAGAAAAGGCAGTCACTAGCTTAAAGTGCTGATTAAATGAGACATATATTGGGAGCAGAAAAAGAGAGGTGACTTGTCTGTTGTCTCTTTCATCAAGTAACGATACAGCATAATAGGAAATTATGATGGTTTCTATGTCAATTCTAGAGTTTCATGCTTTAGGTTGACATTAAGAAGCATAAAAGTAGAATTATAAAGGCTATTCTTGGCTAAGAAGATCACCATCAAGTTTTTTGCAAGAGACAGAGCTACAAATTTTTCACAGATGTACTGCAGGGACCACCAGGTTCTGTGAAGCTGAGTTCACATCTGCGTGCCACAGCAAGT